AGCAGGAAATAAATTGGGGACACTGGTTTTAGAGAGGACAGACTCTGGCTGATTTTGGTCTGTGTCTGGCTCTCTCCCACTTTCCTCCTGTGCAGGCAGGACAGGGACAGGTGCTGGCATCCTGCTAACAACTATGGGACTAGGAGCCAGTGACCTCAGATTCTAGCACAGCCTTTGCCACTAACCAGGTGTTCAGGGTTAGGCAGGTCACTTCTCTCTGTGCCCCAGAGACACCTGCCTTAGACTTGTCGTTCAATAATAAGTGTGTTGCTCTTCCCAGTGTTGGGCTGTGGTGCTAAACAAGGCAGCTGTGGTCCCCACCCTGATGGCAACTGCATTATAGAGGGAAGGGACAGAATGGAAACAGGCAAATAAGACAATCACCGACTGTGACAAGTGTTCTGAGGAAGAGAAACAAAGTGACGAAATGGGGAATAACTTCAAGGAGGTGATATTTATTTTAAAAGCCTCCACCTACCAGCTGAGAAAGAGCCAGCCCTGTCAACCAGGGCAGAGATTTCCAGGCAGAATAATGGGCTAAAAAAGTAGCAGTGCTTTTCAAACTCTACAGTGCTACAGATAACAAGTTTCAGATGAGTTAAAGCACCTTCATTCTCTGCTGCTCTGACCCACATTCCTTGATCAGAGCCTAGTGTGGGCAAAACAGGCTGGTGTCCGGGATTCAGTGTTGGGATCATCTAAGTCCGACAGGCGGCCAATACAGAGGCTCCTGGTGGGAGGGCGTGGTGGAAAGATGAGTGGACTAGGAGTGCTGTTTTTTAGGACATGGTGATCCAATTTATACAGAGTCCCTTCTCCTCCCATAGCCTCATGTCTCCAAATGCTTCAGTTCTTTGTCACCCTTCTTTCAACATTCATCTCACATTTACGGACCACCTGCTAAGAGGCAGGGATCCCCCCCTCCGGAACTCAGGAAGTAACAGCCTCTCCTGCTGGTCTTAGGCCCGCGGAGGCCACTTTTCCCAGCCTGTCCCTGTTTGGGTCCGTGTTGGCTACGGTCCATTTTGTTTGTTATTTTGCTCTTCAGCTAGATCCCTTTGGGGCTCCAGAATGTTGTTTTGTAAATTAATGCCATTTATGACCCAGAGGGGCCATCTAGGGACTGGAATGTTTCAGCAGGTGCCATTTCTCTCTGGACAAATGTCTGGAGGCATGCAGGGTGGTCATGCAGGCCACTCCCTGGGGAACCATAGTCACAAAGTCCATCAGCTGACTGTGCACATCTCAGCACGGTGGACACGGTGAGGCTCACTGCTTCACATTCCCTGTGAGCGCATTTCTTTAGAGTCAAGAGCACTGGACACAGAGCCACAGCAGCAGGGCGTTCACCTGCCAAGTGTGGGCCTGATCTGCAACTTTGTATCTATTAATCTCTAGCCTTCTCTACGTGGCTTTAGGGGGACAGTGGTTTTTGAACTTCAGTGGGCATCAGCATTCTCTCAGAGCTTGTGAGAGCGGAGGTTCTCGGGCCTGCCGAGTCAGTAGCTCGTGGAATTGGGGGTGGGTGTAGGAATCTGTATTTTTAATAGGCATTGAAGAGTGGTTCTGATTGCAAGTAAACTTCAGTTTGGGAAACGTGGCTGTCAAAAGTGGTCACCGCTAATGGGTCCTTCAGTTCATTTCTCCCCTTAAGGGCTGGTTCCTCAGTGAGCCTTTAGCCAGGCTGCCAGACGGAGGTTCTGCAGACAGGACCCCTCAGAGGAAGCCCTGACACTTCACACAGTGTCCGGGCCCAGACGGCATACTCAGTAATGCTGGTCGAATGATCCAAGGGCCAAGAGACTTGGACAGAGGGGGAGGGGAATTGGGTAAACTGTTCACGACTAGTTGTGACACTAGAATGCAAATTCCAGAAAAGTAAGGGGCATATTCTTACTTAATCCCTGAGCCTGATACATACTGGAAATGCTGAATGAAGTAATGACATCGCCTACTTCTCTGTCTTCCTTGGGTGAGACAGAAGGTCTGAAAACCCATTGAGGTAGACCTACCCTATCTGTAGAAATGCCCTGTTTCCCCAGATATCTGATTCAAACTGGCTCCCATAGGGTCAGTGTTATTAAAAACCAAAGTCAGGTTAGGGCTTCAAGATATTTGTGACATGTCACATACCCAGTGACATGGCAAAACATACTGACTCATCCAATAAAGTGAGTCACGCAATTTCTATTGCAGTAAGAAAGGCTTGGATAGTTTGTGTCTTTTTCTTTATCTTAAATATCAGGGCCTGAACAGCTATGCAATTAGGAAACATTACTAAGTAACAAACCTTATTACAAACAAAGAAAGAGCAAATTGAATTGATAATGGAAAAGCATTTTACACCCATCAGATGGGCAAAAGTTTTAAAAGTCTGACAATAGCAAGTGGTGACAAGGATGCACATAGTACTATAAAAACTCTAGAGGACTGCTTGCTAGAGAAAAAGAGTGGGCACCCTCAAGCAAAGTCGCCAGTGTGCCAGCATGCTTGAAGACTCAGCAATTCCACGTGTAGGAGTTAATTCCTGTGTATATACAACAAGAAACATATGAGAGACAATGCTCATGGTAGCATTGTTTCTATGGAAAAACCGTAAAACAAGTAACCCAAATGTACATCAATGGTGGAAATAAACTGTTAAGTAGATACAATGGTAAACTCTATGGCAGTAGAAATAAATAAACTATAGCTGTCCATCAACATAAATGAAATTCAATGATATAGATTTTAAAAAACCAACTCATAGAAGAATATATACATTATGATTCCATTTATTTATTTAGCTAGTTATTTCCTCACTTGAGAACATTTTTTTTCATTGCTTTTAGAAAGACTATGCGTGTGAGAGAGGAACATTGATTGGTTGCCTCCCATACATATCTGGACTGGGGATCGTACATGTACAGACCAGTAATCAAACACACGACCTATGCCCCCTGACCGGAAATCAAACCCACAACCTTTTGCTTATGGGATGATGCTCCAACCAACTGAGCCATGCTGGCCACAGCTCCCCCTTTTTATTTAAAGGTTAATAACAGAAGAAAAAGAGCAGGGTGTTAAATCTGAACAAAACTTGGTTTTATAATCTTTGTAGATTCTTTTCCTGAAATTCTCTTCCCCTAACTTCACAAATTCTCATTCTTTCATCAGCATAAAACTGAATTCACTTCCTCTTTAATGCCTTCCTCAGTGACTCCATGTGAAGTCACTGCTCCCCCAATTCTTGACATACCTTTTATTTATAAACACACGATAGTTCTCTGTCCCAGCACTTGTCACACAGCGTTGCAGACATTGGCAATGTGTCCCAGCCAGTTGTGCACTCACCTCCTCTCCGTGGGAAAAACAAAGAATAGACATCTACCTGTCTGTCTATCTGTCTATCTATCTACCTATCTGCCTATCTATCTACATGCACTTAAGCTTATTATAAATTTTACTGTTATAACGAATGTATAGCACAAAATTTCTAAATAATCGTAAAATACACAATCTCCTTATGTGAATTCTATGCAGCCAAATTGACTCTCATGCAATACTTTTACTCTCAGCAAAAGCTTGAATTCATGGCCAGTCTTACATTAGTAAATAAGAAAAAGTGAAACAAAGACATATTGGAACTTTATTTGTTTATCAATAATTTTGCAAAAATGAGTAAAGCATTCAAGTAGTGGCAGAATATTTTCTCAATTTTCTGTGCTATTTACAAGGTAGTAGCTTCAGACACGACACTCTTTGAGTTTTTACCTTCATTATTAACATTTTTTCTATCACTTAAATCTGACAGTTAACAAAACAATAAACTAAACACTGATTTGTAGTGTTTGCCGATTTCCACGGTATACATTCTTCTGCCAAGGAAAATCCAGGGGTTTGATGTGACATCATTAAACGAGGAGTTGGAAGAAGTACATGTAGCCCAGCATTATACAGTTTTATACCATACACATGAGTAGTCCCAAGAACACAGACAACAGTGAAATGTCATAAGTAGTATAATGAAATGTTAAGTAATAGGAAGCAATGAATATTACTTTTGTTTGTAATTTAATTTACTCAATTGCAAGTTAATATGATTTTTAAATTAATAGCTGTGTTCAACAACTTTCAACATTCCCAAAAATGCAGTGACCGACATTTGTATAGCATCTCTCTGTGTGAGTCAGCTCCAACGCAGGTCTCTGCATGTCTCCTCACTGAAATGTGGCTCCTTTGCAGTAGGACATATCTTATTATTTTTCTCTCCCAGAGACTATCATCACCCACGGAATGTAAAAGTAATTTAATAAAGGTTGGTCAAATGAATGAACAAATCCATACATTGCAGGGCATCCTTGCAAAAGTTCTGGGTGAGTAAGTGGCCTCGTTTTGGCTACGCAGCACCTAAGCCTTCTAGGCCTCCTTCAGGACCTCGGTCTCTCCTACGCCTAGGATCAGTTCTCGTCTGCTCACACCCAGAGAGCAATAAGGCGTACACCTGACTTACATGGCAGGGAGGAGGGCTCGTCACTGACAACAAGAGAGTAAAGGAAGAGCCCAGGGCTCTCTACCTAAAAGAAAAGTTCGTAAGACATACGTTCAAAGGCTGGCCAACTGCTGAAATGTGTGTGTGTGTGTGGGGGGGGCAGTATGGGGGTGTCATTTGAATTTCTTCATGTGACTTTGAAACACATCATATTAGGCTTTCCCCCTATTCATTTATCTTGCTTGTGATCAAACTGCATGTCTGACTTTACTGAGTATTAATACAGGTATACTTACCATCAGTACACCGTGCAAGAGTTAAAGGAGGTAGTTTGTTCCTAGCAGAACCCAATCTGCAATTAAACATCACGTTTTGGGTATTTTGTCTATTTTAAGATTCAGAACCAGGAACAAAGCAGATAGCTGAATGCATCCTTGGCTCTAGCAATGCACCCCAAACAGAAACCAGCCTACAGGTGTTGCTTCGTGAGCTCCCACTGCCGTCAGAGTGAAATCTCACTGCGGTCTGACTGCTGCCTGCCTTGCCCACAGCCCAGTAGATGTCCCCCCCCCCTCCTTCCAGTCCTCTGACACCCCAGGCTCTTCCTCTCCTCAAAGTCTTTGATAGTCCCTGTTGTCTAAATCGTCTACTTCTGGCTCCTTAAAAGGATGACTCCTTTTCATTCTTCAGGTCTCAGCTCAGATGACACCATCTCAGAGAACCCCTTGCTGGCCTAATTCATCCCCCCTCATTTATTTTGCCCACCACTCTACTTATTTCCTTCATCGCACTTACAAACAGCTTTAATTCTTTTGTTTATTGATTATTGCTGGCTCCCCCATTAATGTAAGTTCCTTCTGGTTAAGGACCTTGTCTGTTCTGACACTACTCTAGCCTTATCCTTCAGCATATTTGTAGAATGGATGAACGAAGATATAAAAGAGGATTCCTCAAGACAGGAGGTCCCAAGCTTTGCCATGTAAGGGAATCAGCTGGAGGGCTTTTAAAATCAAGACTGCTCAACCTTCAGTCCCAGACTTCCTGATTCTGAATGTCTAGGCAGAAGCATTTGTAATAACTTTCCAAATGCCGCTAGTGCTGCTGGTCCAGGGACCATAGTTTGAGGAACACTACTAGAGACCTGTACTCCATCAGAGTACATTGTTGGCCAGTCACAGGGAGGAGGCTGGTGGGGGGTCAAGTTGAGCAAGAGCAACAGTCAAGGTGATTGACCACAAAGATACTGTGGAAAAGGTAAGGTCTCTAGGACCATGGTCAGATCTCTTTCTATTCAAAGATGCTGGGCTTCTGAGATAAAAGGCAGCCCTTTCAATGAGGAAACCATGGTAGACAGATCTTTCCTTCTTCAGCTGCCAGAATAAGCAGAGCTGAATAATGGTTCTCAGGCCCCCAAATTGAACATCCATTCCATTTGTGAACTGCAGTGGTGGCCTGTATTCTAAATCAATTCTGGCTTCAGCAGTGCCCAAAGATCTAAACCAGAGATTGAAAAGTGGGTAAAGGAGAAATTACCATCTTCATCCAGGGATAGTTTTCCCCCAAGTATATTTTGAAGAATGTTTGTTCTGTAGGGTCACACCAGGACAAAGGAGTCTCACAGTCAAATGAAATGAGAGGATGCTGAAAGAAGCCATGTCCCCTTTTTGGAGACGGGCAGTACACATGTGAGAAGTCTCGTAGTGAAGAAATCAGTTTAAGATTAAGCTCAGTCTTTGGTAGTGGAAGCAAATGGCATCTCTGCTTGTAACACATGTTCTGTGGCACATTTTTAGAAAAGCACTGCCTTTGGATACCTTCTCTCTTCAAAGGGAAAATAATTTTTTTTCTGGGATGGAAACTTTATGTGGGCATATAAGAATAATCTGATTCATACTAGGCAGCCTCAGCCCTCAATCCCCAGAAAGGCAGGAGAGGAGGTATCCAGACCCTTCCAGTTCTCTTCCCTTCCAGGTGTGAAGCTGCCTGGAGGTATGACCTTAGGTGCTGCCAGGGTGGGGTACGCTCTTTAATGGGGCAGTTAGGGTGGGAGGAAGAGGAGGAGGAAGCTCTGGGAGTAGGTGATAGGCAGGCAGGAAAAGTGCTGGCCTAGGGAACGGCAAGTGGAATTTTCCTCTGAAAACCCTTTTGAACTAAGTGGATTTGAATGTTGCACCCTGGTTGCCTAGATCCCATGGCTAAGTGATTAGGTCTTCATTTTCCAGTAATGATTAACATTGCTGCAGTCACTGCAGTCTGGGCACAGTTTGTGTCACTGTGGTGATGGAAACAAGGAGGAAGCCCTTCCGCAAAACCTGCTTTGCACTTCTGACTGCTGGTGGAAGAGGAGAAACCCTAAAATATACCTGTATTGGGGAGGATTGTCCTGCCTTCAATCACTTCTCAGTGTCTTATTTTTTAAAGATTTTATTTAATTTTAGAGAGAAGTGAAGTGAGGAGAAAGAGGAGAGAGACATCACTGTGTGAAAGAAATATCCATCAGTTACCTCTTGCACACCACCAACTTGGGACCTGGCCCACAAACCAGGCATGTGCCCTGACTGGGTACTGAACTTTAGCAACCTTTAGGTTCACAGGCTGACACTCAATCCACTGATCCACACCAGCCAGGGTTCAGTGTCATCTTGTAATCATTTAACAAAACACCCATTTGGGGCTAATGGATGATGTTTTCATTAGCCATTCTAGTGAAACTCCAGAAATGGTGCTTTTTTTCTATGAGAAAGCAGAGGCTGTGAGGCCCAAATCTTTTCAGGGCAGCAGCAGGAGAACTGTGGCATCTCAACTCCTAACCTGTCTGTCGGAGGCCTCTGAAGCCTCCTGGCACGCTGTCTGGGTCCCACATTTCACTTTGAATAAACAAGTTGGCTCTGATAACCAGGTGAGGTCAGAAAGTCATAGCCCTGGTATGGAATGCTGTTTTTTACAATCACTGCAACTCTCCAGCAAGCAACCAGCTCCAAAAAGCATGGCTTCGATTTTTTATTTTGTTTCCAAAAGCTTTGCTCTCTTCTCCCTCCCTACCTGGCTTCTTTCCTTCCTTCCTCCTTTCATTTCTCTCAATGAAAAAGGAAAGGATAACAAAATATTGCTCATTTGAGAGAGGTAACAATAGAAAGCCATCAGAATACATCTGGGAATAAAAGGAGAGCTTTCTTTTCTATGACACAGTACTTATTACAGAATGTCAAAACAAGGGGGAACCGCAGGGATTTTCCTGACACACTCACTCAAGAACAATGGTGGCCTGAAGGCTAAACTCTTGCACAGGACTCTTAATCACAGCCCTGCCTCCTTCTACTACTCCAGGCTGGATGTGGGAGCAGTATTTGTTAAGTAATTTCACAAGTCCTGCTGGAGCTCTCTCTGAAGCAAGGCATGATGACTTGATCCTTTTTGCAACCTCTAAGTTAGAGTATCCTCTGGATTGCACTCAGGACTAAATGAGCTCGGGTATAGTGTGGGCTGAGGCGGGGACAAGATGACCAGCCTGCAAAGAAGGGCTCCTTGTCCTAAAACTAAAGGTATTGAAAACATGCTTGATGCCTTCTGGGCACTCAGTCAAAATTAGTTTGCCAAAACTAGAGTGTCTGAGGCTTCTGTGGTGGAGGAAGAGGGAACTGAGCAAGGTGTGGAATACTTTAGGCTCAGGGAAACCTGCTGGGACTCTTGAAGCCTCTGTGGAGCAGCACCTTTCAGGAGGTGATGATGGCCAAGTTCACATTCTGGGCCTCCACCACGTGTGAAAAGTTGCCTCCTACAAAGGATGCAAATTGGGCTTGCAGCTGAAACAAAAACTCCTCAGGCCATTCTTCTTTCAAGGGGCATTTTCCTGTGCATAGTGTCATTGGACACTGTGGAGCCAGTGATTCAGAGCATGGCAATGTTTGTTCTAGACAATTTTCCCCTCATTTTTGGGACAGAGGAATGTTCTATTATATGGACTTTTTAACGATTGGCAATGTTACAAGTATCAATTATTTACTGATTTCTCTAAAATCAATCAACATATCCTCAGGTGAGAATTAAAAAAATAAAGTATAGAGATACAGTGATGGAGAGGGAAGGGAGGATAAAAGCAAGAAAAGGGAAGGGAACGTAGAGACGTGGAGTTCTGCTGTTACTGTTGGGATCTCTAAAATCCGGCAATGTCCTCACCTAATCACGTATATTGTTTTCTCTGGGTCCAAAGTATCAATGAATAAGAGTTTAAAAGCACAGGGAAGTCCATTTTTTTTTTTAGAGTAGGGGTAAGAACATGTGTTTAGGGCCTCAAAGTGAATTCCTGTGACTGAACTTTTGCACACTGGACAGAACACAACTTGACGAGTTTCTTAGTTACAGCCACACACAGAAGCAGTCATCTGGGCCCTCAGATTTCTAAGCACAAAAAGATCCCCAAATGCTAGGACTAGGGGGACTTTGGAGGTTGTCTAATCCTTTCTCCTTCCTTTTTGCTCCCAGACAACAAGTAAATTGGAAAGGAGGAAGCTCCTGCCTCTGATTTTGTTCTAAGCATCCTGAAATGAGGGTGATGTCCCGGCCACCAAGATGCTATCAATCTATTCTAGGGTTTAGTTTTAAAGGAAGCCACTGTATGGATAAGAGTAATTCATTTTATCAACACATGGTACTGTGTCTGACACAATGCTGAGCACCTCATTTAAGATTTTATTTATTTAACAAATTCTACAGTATTTCCTAGTTATATGGCAGCAAGTTACTTCGTTTCTGTCTCAGTTGTCTTTATTATTATTATTTATATCTATTTACATTTTTAATTTTTTAAAAATTACAGCTGACATATTAATCAGGTTGATCACTTTGTAAGTTATATAAATGTCTAATCACTGGGTTATATACCTGAAACTAACATAAATCTCAATTTCTTATGTACAAAATTGATAACAAATGGAAAGGACTGCCAGGTAAGTGTTTTTTCTGGGCTTCTTTGTATTAAAGAGCTGACCAGAAGAAAAACGCCAGTATTCTGTTCCAAAGCATTATAAGAAATCGTCAGGCATTTTATACTTAAGATCTTATCTGTGGCAAAGGTTTGAAGGCAGTCTGACTTGGTGACTCCTTCCCAGGCAAAACTGTGAAATGATCATCTGAGAGCTGAATATCTGATACACCTTCAGAGGCAGATTATACCACCACCCATATTCCTGATATGTCTTATAATCCTTTAATAGTTCAGAGTTCTTCCCATTGTCTTGCTTAGAGTCTCTTTTGTTTCAGCATAAATAGTCCTCTCTTCTCTAGTCAGTGAGCACCTTTGTGAGACAGACTACACACATGAACTGCGTGGCCACATTCAGTTGCATTTAAAGTTCTGCCAGCTGCTTCACTGGCCTGGTCGAGTTAGCTATAGTATTGAGAATATTATGGAACAGCGAGAACAGGAAGAGCTAGGCCTCTTGATTCACGTGAGAAAACCCAGGCCTGGAGAAGTCTGATACCTGGCTATGATACCACAGCTGGGAGGGGGTCAAGAACTGGGTTTCAACTCACGTTTTCTGAGTCACAAGTGTAGAATTATTTCTCCCGTTCACTTTCAGTGAGGATCTCCTCTTACTGGGCATGTGTCCAAAGAATTCCTCAGGCATCTCCATAGACCAATTTCAGACATCTTAGCTCGGGAGTCAGAAGACCCCGTCCCAATCTCGGTCTCCAAATTGCTCCCCTGGAGCCTGCAAAGACAGTAGGGACATGCGCTGTTGAGGGATGCCAAGTATCACAGGTGAGATACTTGGAATCTCCCCTTGGATACCCCTGGGAATACCCCTTGGATATTTGTATATTTTTTAAATGGAGAGAAGTGTTTTCACCCAATTTTTAAAAGGGGGTCCAGGACCTTAAAAAAAAGCTAGGTAATTCATTCATTCAGCAAATACTTTTAAAGGATTTACTGTGTGTGAGGTACTCTACTAGGCCCGGAGACTACGATAGAAATAAAACAGACCTGATCCCTACCTTCATAACACTCAGAGAGAAGGACTAATGATAAACAGCAACACGTGAAAGAACACCTATGACAGACTACAAAAAAAAAAATGAACAGTGAAAAGCTACCACTCTAACTAGATTTTGCATTTCTTTCTGGACTTAATATTTGTACTTTCCTCTCCTGAAAAAGTCAAACTCCTCTAGAAACAGACTCAGTTTAACTTCTCAGCTGTAATTTTAAGGTATGTAAGTAAGTCTCTGAATCCTCTGACCACTTCCCCTCCCCCGATTTAAATAGGGCTGTTTGCTCAGCCAGGCTGATTAGATTAACCCTTCCTCCTGGCCTCTCAGGCAGGCAAGATGATTCCAGATCTCTAGAAATACAAGGCAAGTCTGTCCCGCCAGGATCAACAACGTACTTTCCCCTTGCGGAATCTCCCTGCCGTTTCCCGCTGCTGCTTGTGTAAGACGGACTGGTCTGAAAGCCCGGACAGACACACCACCAAGAAAGCTGGTGAACTTTTTAAATTTGTAAATTCTCATAATGAGGATATTGTTCAGAATGTTATCTCAGATCAGGTTTTTATTCTTGCCGAGTAAACTTTTCATATGTGCACATCTATTGTTTAAAAATGCATGTGATTTATCCCACCTCCCCCATTTCTAATCCTTAACAAACTCACAGAACAATGAGACATTGTGCAACCAGAATTATTTCTGTTTCTAGACTGGCGTTGTCCTAAACTTACCTTGGGGGTGGGCAGTACAAAGAAGGGGTGACCCGTTGAAAGTCTTACAACTCAATGGCGAAGCTGAAATTTGACTCTAGGACATCTGACTGCTGGGCCTCTGCTCTCTGGGCACCAGATTAGATCCAATGGCCTCACTCACCTTACACACGCATGTGCACACAATGTTATCAGAATACCCGAGGGTCAGCTGATTAGAATTGTCAGTTCTCACTAATTCTAGAAAAAGTGTCACATGAATAGCTCAAAGGCCAGTTCTGATTTAGAGAAAACCAGACTGGCAATTAAAAGTGAATGCATGGTTATAATACTTTGAAGTGACAACACAAACATAAGTAAATGAAATTAAAAAAAAAGATTTTGTTGAAGGCACAGATATCACCTGGAGGGTGAATAATGAAAGATTAAAGATGATGTGTGATTAAGGTACCAGGTCAGTAACTGAAGTTTTGTTGATTGTTCAAAGGGGGTCTGAACTGGTTTGAACTCAGCTGATGCTTTCTCTTTTCCATTACCTTGCTTCCTTCCTCCACCTGCCCCTCCACCTCTCCCTCCCATCCATTCATACCTTGGGTCTGGTAGAGAGGTGACATCTCCTTTCCATGAGAGGCTCTTCAGGAATATACTTCAGGTCATGGCATTCTAGCTTTAGAAACAAGTTAGCTCTGCCCTGGCTGGTGTGGTTCAGTGAAGTGAGTGCTGGCCTGCTGACCGAGCGGTTGCTGGTTCAATGCCCAGTCAGGGCACATGCCTGGATTGTGCACCAGGTCCCCAGTTGGGGACATGCCAGATGCAGCCAATCAACACACTAGAGACAACCAATCAATGTTTTTCTCCCTCTCTTTCTTCCTCTAAACACAAATGAATAAAATAAAATAATAAAATAAAATAAAATAAAAATAGAAATGAGTTAGCTTTTGGAGTCTCAGTGCCCTAGCAAGGGCATGAGAAAGTGTCAGAAAAGGAAATGGCCTGAACTGGAGAGAAAGTCAGACTTTTTCCCCTGAGAGTTACTATTTCTGGGCAGCCAGGCCCCAGTATCTGTGCCCACTGCTGAGAAGGTTTCATGCACAGATGGAACTACATTAGGTACTGTGTCTATACGTCTCTTAAGCCCATGCACCATTGGTCCCTTGGCTGGGGACAGCAGGGAGGGTGCTGTCTTGCATTAGGAGAGACTGAATGTCAAACTGAAGAGGAGACTCTTCCTTCACAGTTATTGTGACTCAGCCAATTCCAGGATTTAAGCTCAGGCATGTTAAATCAGCTCCATGTTTAATTCTTCTGGGAAATTCGATCTGTTGGGGGTACTTATTTCCAAACAGAAATGTTACTAATTTTATTTTGGTGTAGTTGCTGTGTGGTATGCCTCTTATCACCCTTGGCACAGGGAGAAAAGGTAGTGGTCAGACGTTTGCTGTCACCTAATTCACTCTCGTTTTTTATGTTCTGCCTGTTACCTGAGGTCACTGTCACACCTCTCACTCTCTTGACCCCACACATACACGACCAAACCCTCTCCTGGTTTTCAAGTTGTGACACGATTGAAATGCTTATGAGAATTTTCATATACAGTCTAATCTTTGTATGCAGTATGCTAAGGCTCCACATTTGCCTTGAGTCAATAAGGAAGTGCTCTTAGGAAATTCATTTGTTAGGATCTTATTTATATCTTAAAGTCCACCAGCACCTTTGGTTATTACTGTTATGTGTGTGTGCTTTAATGTGGTGCACATAAGCTTGCCTTTGTGACTTTTACTTTTGAATGCATTGTCGGTTGACACCCCTAGAATAAATTGCTACCCTCTCTGTAATCAGTGAGACAAATGTACGTGCCATTTTAAGCTGGCTCACTTGTTCATTGCCGTGAGTGATTTGACCAGGGCTACCTTCCCAAACTTCTCTGGCCCCAGTGCACAGGCACACTGTACTCAGGAATAGAGTCCTGGCTTGGGAGCTGGTGAATTCCTTACGTATTTCAGGAGCGCATGCCCACAGGCACACAGAGAGGATGGACGCATCTGCTGGCTTAAAACTCTGGGGACAAGTTCTTAACCAATGTCCAGAGAGTTGATTTACTGGCTAAAGTCTCAGAGACACCAAACATTCTTGGGATATATGTTACTGAATTTGAGAGCAGACGTAGAGTAGGGGGAAGGAACCCATGTACTTAAGTCAAAATTGTAGGTGACATTCTTGATTTTTTTCTCCTTCTCACCCCTATTAGCAACTCTATCAGTCCCACCTTCAAAGCATCTTCTGAAGTCACATCTGTTTGCCTTAACTCTCGTCACCCTAAACAAGCCTCTGCCAAACCTCACTTAGTCAGCTCAGTTACCTCCTCCAACTACATTTTGTACATCTTCTCTTCCTGTTTTCTGATTCATTCTCTATGCAGAAGATAAAGAAATCTTTTATAATTGCAAATTACATTACATCTCATTTATGCTTAAATCCCTTCACCAGCTCTCCCTCATTTCTAGCATTACATTGAACTCTCTTCCAAGGCCTATAGGCTCCATGTTCTGTGGTTTCTGCTAGCCTCGTCAGTGTCTTCTTATTTCACACCCCCTCCATGGTCATTGTTCTCCAGCCTCAGAGGAGAACACTCCCAGACAGGCAGTTGGATGCCTTAGGGACTTTGCTCTTACAGTTCTGACTGCTTGGAAGTCTCTATACCACGTCTTCACCTGGCTGGTCCATTTTCATGTTGCAGGCACCCACTCAAATGCTCCCTTCTGTGAGAGGCCCCAGATGACTTCCTGGTCTTTATTTCCTTGTTCAAATTAGGAGGGAGACAAAGCAGAACTCAACACCACCATCACCAACATCCACAGAAGTGCCCTGAGCCATTCAGCTGCCTGCAGAGAGGCAAGGAAGAAAGGCTGTGATTAGGGAGAGAGTGGGTAAGCCAGGGTGGTAGTTTCAGCAGCCAGAGATCTTGCCACAGGCCCAGGAGGTAACATATGCAATTTTACCGGAACCACCTTGACATAAGCAATAAATCACATAAACAAGGCAGAGAAGGTCATGGGAACCTGGCCTTAGTCAGTGCTAGTGAGACAGGATTTTAAGAGGCTGGGAAAATTCCTTGGCCAGTGGAATAGGGAAACTGAGACAGATAATTGAACTCAATGGCCGAGCAATTCATAGCCAGGGGCAGATGGTCACCAGGGGGGAAGAGTATCTGGCAGGGGGCAAAATTGGGAAAAAGAGGACCTTGCCCCCAGGATAATTTTTCATTCATTCCCTGGCCTTTTCTCCCTGGAGATAACATCAAGGCCTCAGTTGTGTTTCAGCTCCAGGCCCAGAAAAGCAGCAAAACCAGGTGGGTAAAGCCAGGATCAGCTTCAGTGACTAACATGACCCCTTGACCTAACACTGACCAGACAGTGGAGACCTTGACTCTGAAAGAGCACACCTGGAGAACTGATGACTACTCTACTGAAACCCTTCCCTGAGACCTCCCCTAAGATTCCTGACTGCAAGAAAGAGATAAAAAGATTTTTAAGACAAATCTTTTTTTGTCTTAAGTGGCTCTCCCTCTGGGGAGCAGCCCACACCATTCCCTTTCCCCTCTTCTTCCCCCTCTTTCTTCCCCATAGGCACGTGTCTTGTGTCTCATAACTGTTAAGGCAATGAGCAGCTAGCAGCTTGTCCGAGGCTAATCCTCTGAGACTGATCCCCAAGGGCCCCTTCTCTGACTTCTCAGTATTCTAAGGCAGCCCAGCCTAGTCTCTTCTGTTGCTTCTGCTATGCTAAGTTCTTCCTTGTTTTACTGTCCCAACTTTAATAAGTATATCCTCGTAGGCACCTGGACTCAAGTTGCGAAATCTTTCCTACATTCAAAGTCAAGAACCCACACACTGCAGCTGGCCCTGGGCAGACCCACTCAGGGCCAGGCTTGGTCTAGTAATACTATGCAAAACACTTGTATATCACAGGAGCCAAGGAGCTGTGGGAAAGTCTTCTCATTCACCAGCTTACCTGGAAAAAAAAAAACAAAAAAAAAACTACATGTTTTTGCTTGTGTGGTGAGAAGAAACACAGAATTTGGAGGGCCAAAGTGGGGGAGAGTGAAGGAAATAACTGTAGGGATTGGGAAAACCCTAATGATTATTTTTTTTCCTGGAGACAGAAGAGGATTAAAACTCTAAGTTAGGGAAAAGTGAAAACTCTGAGTGAACTCATTAACTGGGTTTATCTGATTAATTCTGGGGAGATTGGGTCAAAATTCAATCCAACAAAACACATGCATACACATTTCTTAGGTTCGCATGTTAAAACTACTGTCAAGCATTAGTATCTAAAGGACAGATGTCGACCAATTGCCATTTCCACAAGGACCCACTTAGAACTCAACTCTGAGGGTGCCTCAGTGGTCAAACCACAGTAATGGTATAATGCGGATGGGGGTGGCTTGGGGCTGAGCCTTCTCAGAAGTCCTCTCTACACTTCTGAGTGTCTCTCCAAGTAAAGTCTCCTCCAAGCTTTTCTCCTCCACTCCCATCCAGCCTTACCCTCAACTTCCTCTCTGACCTCACAAACGAGTTCCCTTAGCAAGAACTGGGGTGTGACTGTTACCCCCTGCAGTGGGAGCTACAGGCCCTGGAGAAACAAGCTCAGATTGTTCAAGAGTGATAGAATCAAGTTGGGGGCGGGGATAGGAGCTAGAGGTTGGTTTAAGGGAAATAAACACAAAAGGGATTTTAAAAGATCTGGCAATGAGAAGGCTAGGTAGGAGTTGAAGGGAGAAGGTGGGGTGTCCCTGAGCTGACTTGAACTTTGCCTCTTCTCCCTGGTTTTCTCCCAGCTCTTCTTTTCCCACCCTCAGAAGTTCTGGGAAATCTGCCAGCTCCTGGACTGGGTAGTTTCAATTCTTTATTAGAAATCCCCTTCTTGGCTCCTCTGCTTCATTCCCCTCCTACTCCTCATCTCCTCCCTTTCTCATTTTGCTAATGAGTCTTACTGGAGCAAGCTCTGGAGGTGGGCTGGTGGTGCAGCTGTGGAATCATTGGTGGCCTCTAAACCTGCCTCTGAGCTTGGTTCCTATAGACCTATGTGTCTGAGGCTGTGTGGATTTCAACACCCCCTTGCCCTCAGATAAAAGTAATGGCCTTCCCTAGACACAGTGCTGGACAGCAGGGAAGAGGACCAGGCCATGGGGTAGGAAGATCTGCAGGCCTTTGTCTTCAGGTCACTCAGCTTTCATTGGGGCTTCTTGATGAGGCAGAGGCAGGGCAAGGCAATCTACATTTGAAAAACAAAAAAATTATTTACAATTACTAGTCACATTTGCTCCTGGTAACAAAGCTGGACAACACAGTCTCAGCCAGCGTGGCTCAGTGGGTCAGGCACTGTCCTGCAAACTGAAAGGCCACTGGTTTGATTCCTAGTCAGGGCACATACCTGGTTCTGCCCCCCAGTTGGGGTGTGTACAGAAGGCAGCCAAACGATGTTTCTCTCTCACACGGATGGTTCCCTCCCTCTTTCTTCCTTCCTTCCCCTCTCTCAAAAGAAAATATTAAAAAAAAATTTTAACAAGTCAGACAACACAGAAAAAAAGGAAGATCACCCAAAATTCCACAACCTGGGGGAAACTTTTGGTGTTTTGATGTATTTGTTTTCGTTCTCTGTTCAATGCTTATCTTTGTCTTGGCCTGAAATACATGTTATCTACTGTCTGATAGCCTGCTCCCCACCACCCCACACAACCCCACTATTGGCGTTTGTTTTTGAGTATTTGCCCATTAAAAAGTCTTCCAAATCAATGGTTGACATTTAATCAATAGATATTTACCTTCCAAGACTAAGACAGTGTTTTTCTCCAGGAATTAGTTTTGAAGTAGAAATGATGACATTGATGACCCCACTCAACACTATCCACGCCCCACGCCTTCTGACCTCTGTCTGAAAGTGTATCAGGAAGGCAGGTGGATCAAACACCCTTCTCTATGAGGAGTAGGCTCTCCAGATGGGGTCTGTGGGCTTGGGGTATAAGGTGGGTATGGGGGGATTGTTTATAACTGCTCATTTTCCCTCTTGCAGCCCCTGTGGCCAGAGAACTTCCTTGAGAATGGAGTTTCAACCAGTTACCTGACAGCTGGGAGCAGGGCTCAGAACTATGTGGGTGTATGTTTTGATGCTCAAGCAAGAAAAGTGATTCAACATGAACTCTGCCAAAATAAAGCTGGCTCAGACAAGGGAGTTTTATCTGTTTTCCTGGGAGTGCCGACATGATTCTCCCACATCATGCTTTTCTTTCTGTTCCCTGGGTTGCCCTTAGTCTGGCATGTGTTCTAGAACAAAAACACCCTTTCTGTAGAGGTGGTGGCCAGCACAGCCCGAAGGCCACTGTCAGAGCCTATGTATCTAGCCCCTCAAAGGCACAGTTTTTGATAATCTTTTGGGTTCTTTGGGGATAGCACAAGGCAGGAGAGTGGAGAGTAGGTAGGAAGGACAGCCGACAGCAGCTGGGAGACCACCTCAAAGAAACCTGACAGAAGCTGCAAGGGAGAGTTCCCCCAAAAGGCTTTGGAGGCCGAGTTTCTTGGCTTCAAGAGTCAGGAGATGGACTTTGCAGGGACTGAGACCACTGGGAGTAAGAAAGAAGTGAGAGGAACTGAGGGTGAGGGTGAAGGAATAGAAGCAGGACTTGATGGCCCAAAAGGCTGTCATGCTTGAACACCTAGAACACAAAGGAATCAGAGTGGGGGAGGAAAAATAATTTCCTTCTACCTTTTTAAGTTCTTCTGGTTGGTCTAATCAATTGATACAAGGCAGATTAACAGGAGAAAATAACCAAATTTATTACATATGTACATATGGTAGTAAGAAAAGGGGGCCCAAGGACAAATAGGGCTATTGAGCTAATATGCCATTCTAGATGAAAGGGAGGGAGGTATCAGGTCTGGGACTTCAAATGGAAAGTAGTTCATTTGCAGGTTAGGCAACAGTCTGAGATAACAAGCCCAGAGCTATCCCAAGGCTGCCCATGACTGATGAATGAATGAACATCCAGACAGTGTGTGCTGCATGTGAAATGTTGGTGGCCACAAAACTAGCTGAGGTCACTGAGGGCTGGGAGAGGGGCTTGGAAAGGTGCTAGGGAGCAGGAGAAATGTGAACCAGACCTTGACCCTGGTTAGCAGTTGGAGAAGCAGAGAGGAAAAGAAGAATTGTACTAAGTGATTAAAGAAAAAAAACAACATTCATGAAGCAAGGTGAGCTTAGGGGGCAGGTGGGTTTGAACATAGAGGAAGGGTCCTAGGAGGTAAGGCTGAGAGGCAGGTTGAAGCCAGATTATGGAAAGCACTGGAAAGCAGGCCAGGGACTTCAGTTTCTGTTACAGGCAGTGTCTTTTCCACTCGGTGCTCTAAGCCACACTGACCTGTCCCCACCCACACTCTGCTTTTCTTCCAGTACCACTTATTCTCTAGTACTTAAAAGTTTTCTTGCGTTAGTTTCTCTGTGGGATATATGTGTCACACTATGCCCTAATCAAGATGGTAAGTCTCATAGGACAGGTTACATGAAGATTTCCTAACTAGATATGACTGTGTGGTAGCACATCTTAGAAGCTGAGAGGTGAAGAAGGCTTGGGGAGACCCACAGAGAAGCTGGAGTCCTACTGTTGTGACAGCCAGAGTTAGTCCCACCACTGCGCAGTCACCATAACCAACACATTTGAAGTCTCTCTATGTTCATTTTAAAGCTGCTGGAGGCCCCTTGATGGTTTGGGCCTCGTTTGAGTAATTTCTCTATAGACCATATTTGATGTACTTCCCATTTGTGAATACAGAATCCTTACATATAAGTGGAGGGGACACTTTTCTGCCGGAGGGTCTTAAACCTTCCGGATTCTTTTGGGTTTTGCCTGGTCAAGTTCCTTGACTTTCCTGGAGAAAAAAAAAGTCTCATCATTTAACAAGAGAACTGCTGTGTCCCCCTCACCCCTTTCCCTTCTGGAGATTCTCATCCTTTGGTATTCCCAGCTGCCCCCTCTCAGCTTACTCCTGAGTAGGAAATCACCAGGAACTTGAAGAATCAGATGACTAAGGGCAAAAAACAAGAACTGCAGAGCAAACACGACTTGCTTGGATGTTTGCTTTGGTTTAAAGAGTTACTGGGGGTAGCAAACTCATCTTTTGTTTTGCTGGAAGCTTTATTTTCTTGGTAAATACCTGTTTTTGAGTAACAGTTTCTCCATGTGACCAAGAGATTCTTAAAATAGATCTGACTTTCTTCTCTGTAGATCAGCCAGGATAGTAACAGTGACCCCTGGGCCATTGGTCCCACTCACATGCCAGGACAGTGGCCAACCAGGAGCATGTGGGCTTCTTACCTGCCCAGGGCATAGTGGTTCATTCATCTCACTACCTTTTGAACCATGGCTTCTGGCGGCCCTGACCACCACCTCGTGGTAGAGTCCTCACACAAGTGTTCACTGCTGCAGGCACTATGAGAGACCCTCACAGTGGGGCATGTGTATAAACTGTCTCATGGACCTGACGTTACTTTGGTTCTGCATACACTGGTTTCTCATGGCAGCAAGGGCAGCTAAATTGGGATGGAGGTGAACACAGGACTGGAAAGAGGCCATAGCTAGTGGTTTCAAGGAAGAAGGGCAAAATCTCCTTCTCAACAGGAGCCTGCGCATGCTGTTGCGGGGGAGGGGTGTCTGTAGCTGCTTCCTTGATTGAGCCCAGCCCTCAAGGCTCAGCAGTTGTTGGCTAGCCTCAGCTTATTTCCTCCTCCCTTTGCACATACTTTCATTGCTTCAAGACTAGCACTTTACAGACGCCCTCACTCCCTTGTCACATACCTACATGCTGCTGTGCTGCTTCTCTCTGTGGTCTGTGTGCCCTATGTACATGTTCCTCTTTTCTCCAAAGTGCTTCCCTTTTCGCTGTATCAGTTCAATCCTTCCCATCCTTCAAGGTCAGTACAAAGTCCTTCTCCATGCAGCCTCTCCAGAATGTTGCTTTGTCTTTCTCACAGTTTGGCCCTGGTTCTTGTCTCGTGTTATTGGATCAGCATTGTATGCCCAGAGAGTCTGTGAACTCCGGGACAGCAGAGACCATGTTGGATTCTTTTCACGTTTTGCCCACATTACCTACAATACTCTTATTCCCTAGGTCGCTTTTCTCCTCTTTGTCATTCACTTCTGAAACTCTCATTGCTGGTTGCACAGAGTTGGTGATTGGTAAATGTTTGCTACTTGGTTGGTTTATCTATAGTCTATATTAAGGAGAACTAAATAATCATTAAAATGATAAAAGGCTCATCATGATCCATGAGCCTTATTTGGGATTCTTGAAAATGGGCATATTCTAAACACATAATAGACTTCACTTGCATTTCTTTTTCATTTAGTTACTGACCAAGGGATCTGACTCTAGCCTCTTATTTTAGTTAGAACAATTCAAATTAGCAAACATTACATGAGTATCTTGTATGTGTGCTTCACTGTGCTGGATCCTGGTAATGGGATCTGAGTCCCTACTCTTGGAGAAGAGAGTTGAGAAGGCCTTTATTAGTCACTTTATTATTTCCTTCTCAGGCTCAATGGGAAGTGACCACAATCACTGAGTGCAACCACAGGCTGTTCAGGGCAAGGAAAAAGGAGGGAGGGAGTTCCAAGGGGCCAGAAGCTAGAATGAAGGATTTCAGCTTCCCAGAGCACAAATTGGTTGATTCTCCAAGTAAATACCATGGCATGTGGTGACTCAAATGACCAATTATGCAAGTGGCACAGCAGTCACCAGAACCAGAAGAGACCTCTGAGTGAGGGGAGCCAGCCCCAAAGGCTTTCTGGGGAGCAGCCAAACTTTTAACAGTCAGGGAACAAAGTCAGCAAAGGTTTCTGAGAAGAGCTAAATCTGTCCAGGTTGCCTGAGGTGCCTGAGGGCATGAACTTCAGGGAAAAAAGTAGCAATGAGGAACCACTTAGGTGCCAGTGAGAGAGACCAGGAAAAACAGCACGGGTGGCTGGTGAGTCACAAAAGCGAAAGAGGGAAATCTCACCAATGTTGATCAGTAGCAGCTGCTTAGTCATATCTGTGTGTGTGTGTGTGTGTGTGTGTGTGTGTGTTGGGTGAGGGGGTGGAGCAGGGGCATGGGACAGGTTGTCTTTAACTGAGGCATTCAAGGCATTCTCTGATTTAGGGACAACAGAAGACCAGACCCACATTAAGCTCCCACTACCTCTAATGACTTACAGAAATGTAACATTTTCTCAAAACAAAACAGATAAACAACTGAGAGTTATAAAAGCATGTCAGCTCATACCCCTGACTGGTATATACAATGTCCAGGGTACAATAGCGTGGTGACATAATAGTAGGATCCCATCTATTGATGGTCCACAGAGAAAAGTGTGACACCATAGTCAATTTGGACAATGTGTCTAATTTGCAAGGAGCTGGAGGAAGTCAAGATGAAGAGTTATCTTGCTTACCCAAGGGTAGCGGTCAAGGGTAAGATGAGCAAGAGAAAGTAGAATGTGAGGGTGCACTTGTCATTGCCTGTTGGTACCTTTTTATAAATGCTATCTTGTTCAATTTTTTGAGGTATGTATCATTCTCATTTGATAGTTAAGGAAACTGACACTCATAGACACTACATACTCTCAAAAGAGCATGTTGATGATAATTATTAAAGTCAGTTAAACAGGCTGCCTGGCTCCTAAGCCCAGGCTTGCTCTTCTCCACCACGTGTTTTCCAGGGCCCAGTGTAATTAGGACATGGGGGAGGAGATCAGTTTTATGAGGAACTTCCTGCTCATAAAACTTTCTGGATTGCGGGCCAATCGAAAGCTAACAATCAACCAACACCCCTTATAGGTCAACTCAATACTATCCTACTTGGAATTCCTCTCTCTCTATATTTTTACAAATGATATTTCTTTGAGAAATTAATTTAACTGGGTGAGAGGTAGGTGCCATTGCCTCTTTTCCTTTGCTTTTAGCATATGATAACCCTTCTGGTCATATCCCAGTCTCCTTGGTCTCTGCCCTCAGTGCAGAGAAAGTACGTATTTGCCCAACTCTTATACCAAATGACTCTCAGCAGCATGGACTCTGATCTGAACTAAGTCAACTCAGCAGGAGTGGGTGGCCTTCTACTGACTCTCCTAGGAAACACCTGTGCGCCTCAGGTTTTCCTGGATCTGTGTTAATGGTACCAGTGCTTGGGTGGGGACAGAG